AAGGTTCTACTTTGATCATATTAGCTAAAAGCCATAATCATCACCAATCCTAAATTATCCGTCATTTACTACTTGCTACAACAGACATCTTGAAAATAACACACTGAACATACACTGTATAATCCTATAATTCTACAGCATGGTAGAGAAAACAGCTCAATGAGAATCATGTTTGCAGGCTAACTGAAAACCTCAATTATTGAATCAAAGATAAGAGTTAAGCAGATAAAACTGGGTAAGAAGTTCAGTTCTTACTAATAAAAGTCTTAAAAACCAGGACAATAAAGAAGGCATTTCCAATTCATCAACACTACAATGGTCCAAAGGCCTATTTAAAGGAGGGGGTGGTGACTAGCCAGGACAGGGGCTGCCAACAGAGCACCTGTCTGAATGAGCCACTCGGCCAGCAGGTTCACAGTCTGGGCCACAGCAGTGTAGTTCTCGGATAAGAGCTGGATAACATTCTCTGGAGACCCTCCTGCCTGAAAATACCTAGGAAAAGTAACAAAGCAGCAATTACACCAGAGGGAACGTAGGTGAGCCTGGGATGGACAACAAGGAGGAAGATAATTAGGCTTTAAGATGTGTAAAGTGGCAGAGGTAGGACCCTCGAGCCCTTTTGTTCCTGTATCATGTTATTCTTACTTCAATGTCACCTTCTGGGTCCACCACAAAACTTTCTCCGAATTAGTCCCTACTCGCCTGCCAGTACAAATGCCTTCCTCACATACCTCTTCAGAGTGTTAAAGATGGAGGGTTCCATGATGTAATCCCGGGTAGAAAATTTATGCAGGCATTCTTGCTGGACCTCGGCGTCATCCTCGCCTTCTCCTGAATCATCCTCTTGCTGCTGGTAAATGCCAAGAGCCATGACTTTTTCATTAATATAAGTATCCTGTCATCTCACCCTAAATCTGTATGATGCTGTCCATTTCAAAAATATTCTACACACATTATTTCATTTGACTTTCATGACACTCTTATGACATGGATGGGCAAGTAGTGAGCAGCTGAGGAAATAGGACCCAGAGTGGCACTGAGTGGGCTTGTATGGCAACACCACCCTGGCAGCCGTGGACTGTGGTCACACGAGTTACCTAACCTCTCTGGGTGTCCATTTCCTCCTCCGCTAAACAAAGATAATAATAGTGCCTATGCCCTGTGGCTGTTGTGAGGATCCTACGAGCCAATTTTGGGAAGAGCCTAGCATAATGCCTGGCATTTAGTAAAAGTTCAGTAGCTGTTAACTATTATTATTGTTCTATTATTTCATATGTGCCATTTAGTGCTTTCCAACAAAGACTAACAAAGTGATTCACGAAGGCATGAGCCATCAATTTACCATTACAAAGTAAAGATCACTAATTTGCCTCAAATCCGCACTCCTGCCTGGATCCTAGTCTCAGTTCTGTGTGGGAGCAACCTCAGGTGAGTCTCTGGACCTAATGGTGAAGAAGGCTTCCTCACCTGCTGACATCTACACGATGGACTGGACTATCCCAAGGTCTGTCCAGCTGCAACACTGTCATCCTAACTCATGAGCAGAGACTTTCTGAACACTTATTCTGTACTGAGCACTGTGCTCATCACCTAGGGAACCTGAGAAAATATAAGACATGGCTTTTTCCACCAAAGAATTTCACAAGCTAGTAGGAAAGACCAACCTTTATGCAACTGACCCTAACATAACGGAGTAAAAGTTAGATCAGCAAAGAGTTAAATCAGTTGGGATTTGGCCCAAGGCTAAATCCAGGCCTCTCCTGTTTTTATAAATAAAGTTTTATTGGAACACAGCCATGTCCATTCTTTTAAGTACTGTCTATGACTAAATTTCCACCTATAAGGGCAGAGTTGCGTAGTGTGACAGAGATATGCACAGCCTAAAAACTTACTATCTGGCCCTCAGAAAAGTCTGCCCTCCTGATCTGGACTAACATTCTGAAAGCAGTGCTTTGGGAACAGATTGAGCCCTATGACTTCATAGTGAAGATGAGGGAGTCTTCTCTCAGACCATATTTGTGTGGAAAACCTTGAGCACAGGTGTGAAGGAAGGCTGGACTTCACCCTGAGACTCATTTTTATATGTATTCTACCCTGGGCTCTCACCTCTTCTACCAACACATCTTGGGTCATTTGGGTCATGCCATCTACCTGATCATAAATCTAGTATTTAGCCTGGATCGATTTCCCCCTGCCAGCCACCCTTACATGCCACACTTAATTATTCAACAGTCTATTCTCATTTCCACTCAGACATCTCACAAGTACTCCAAGCTCTGTAGGTCCAAAACTGACCTCATCTCCCTGAAAACAGATTTTCTTCCTACAACCCACATTTTAGGAAAGAATTCAATCATCCACCTGTTACCGAGAAACCTGGGAGTCATCCTCACTTTCTGTTCCCTCACCCTACCCCCACGTCCTATCACGAAGACACATCACTTCTAACTCCCACCTAGCTGTCCAACGTGGCCCTTCTTTCCATATTTACCTCTACCCCTCCTTATTTTTTGCATGTTTGCAGTAGCAGTATTCCCTAATGTCTTGATCTCATTCCTTCCTTTCAGTCTTCTTTCACAGATGCTACAGTGATCTTCCTAAGCCACAAATCTGGCATCCTTCTGCTTAAAGTTTCCCGTCTCACTCAGGAAAAAGCATCTAAGCTTTAGCTTGTGCTGACTTGCCTCTTCCTACATGCTCACCTGTCCGGTCTCACCTCCCACCACTCCCCATTTACAACCTGCAGCCAGACTAATCGATTTGCATTTCAGTAGCTCTCAGTTTCTATGCAGACTTAAAGTCACAGAAGCTTCCTTTCACATCTTCACACCTCCCCCAATCCATGTAACATGGCATCAAGAGAACAAAATCAGGGTCACCAACTACCTTTCAAAATCCAGCTCATTGGAGCTAGGTCTTTGGGAAAATTGAAAAAAAAAAATTAGGAAATTAAAGTAAAAAAAAATTTATATATTAAAAAAAAAAAATCCAGCTCATGCCACCCTTCCATCACCTTTCCTAATTTTCCATTCCTCTTCCAAGGAGAGTCACAGAATGAACATGATACAAACATCTCGTCTACCCCTTTCACCAATAACAGCCCACTTGGGTCAATGGACAATATTAGGATCATTATTAAAATTCTCCAAACATGAGACTCCCTAACCCATCAGTGGAGTCTAGGCCTGACTGCATGAGCTGAGGAGAGTAACTTGAGTACTCAAGTCTTTAAAATGAAGGCACTGGACTTGATGACCCCCTTAGAGATGCCCGAGTTCTAACATTTTATGACTCAAGGGCTCAATGTGAGAAGCACTATGACATTTTGTGCAAGATGTCCCAAACACCAGCCCACAACTAAGCTAATTCAGACCCTCTCATCTGGACCACTTCAGATGGTCAACAGTTTGGTGAAGTGGCAATGGACACAAAAGATGTGGGTTTGGATCCTTATTACTTCCTTTGTTAGTTTCATAACCTTGGGCAGGTCGCTAAGTCTTCTGTCTCACTTTCTTCATTTACAAATATTGAGCAAAGTAACACCCAACACAAAATCTTGAGTATGTGAAGTGATAATATATGAAGCACCTGGCCTACCCTCTCAATTAGCTAAATCTGACTCTTTATCCACTCCACTGTAAGCCTTCAACAGTGTGGAATGATCCAACATGCAAATCCAACATGCACATGTCACTCCTGGCCCCAAACTCTTCAACAGGCCATCCTATTTAGCAGCTTTCCAAGGCCCTTCAAGAACCTGCTCCCTACTGACTTCCTGACACTGCTTCCACCAGACAACTAACCACACAGGGCCATGAAACTTTCAGTTCCTGAAACACACCACCTGTCTTTGCATCTTTATACTTGGGCTCCAATGCCTTTGCTGCATCACCGCCCCTGTTCAATGAACTAAACCCCTCTTTATTCCTTCAAAATATCAGTTCAGGATTTACCAAACAACTCTAACTTTGATAAAGTTAAAAGGGTAAGTTCCTAGGCTTCCCTCCAGACCTCAGGGGAGGGACCTGAGAAGCTGTATTTCAATCATGCTCCTCAGGTGGGTTTTAAGATTAGAATAAGGTTGGGATACAGGGGCCAAACTAGGGCTCCTTGCTGAGGCTTTCCAACCCCTGTCTTCAGGGGAGAACAAAATGATCCCTCCTGGGCTCTCGCTCCAAACCCTAGAAGGTCAAGCCAGAAAATCCTGTCATTTGGCCTAAAGGCAGATTAAATCAGCCCAAAGTGCTGAAAAGAGTGTGGTTTAGAATAGAGTAAAACACATGTAGGAGTGTGCCCAAAGTTCTACTTTCTCACCATGATGCTGCCTGGGGTTTTGAATTGTACTTTTTGTTTAACACTGTGTGGCTCCTGGCCCCATCCTCCACCTTAAGAGTTTGTGTCCCACCCGCCTTGGGACACAAACTTGGTAGGAAGTACCAGTGCAGAGCACTGAGGCTGTCCCAGGGTGGGTGGCCAACAGGGGCCTCAGGGCTACGGGAACTTCCTCCTCTTCGCCCCCGCCCCAGTTATCCTACAGGTGAGACGGCGGAGGCCCAGGGGGGCGCGCTGCCGGGCCCAGGGGGGGTCGCGGGGTCCAGCCGGTGGCCAGGCGGGGCGGGCTGTGCTTGAACCATACGGTGGCCGCGCGGGGCCGGGCGCGCGCTCACACCCCGGCGGCGGAAACGAACGACCCTCGTCGGGGGGCGCCCGGTGCCCTCCCTCACCTGGCCGCCGTCCGCCTCGTCGCCCCACTCGGCAGCGCTCCCGAAGTAGTCCTCCTCCATGATGGCGGCCGGCGCGGGAACCGCCATTCTCTCCCGCGAGCGAGCAAGGCGCATGCGCGCGGTGTGGCAGGGAGGACGGGCGCACGCGCGGCCCGTGGTCCCGCCCCCTGTAGCCACGCGCTTCGGCCTGCCGGGGGGCGGGGTCTGGGGAGGGGCGGGGCCTGGAGAAGGGGCGGGCCTGAGGGCGGGCCTTGGACAAAGGGGACCGCGCAGAGGGAACGCCCCCGGGGGATCCAGGAGCTCCGCCCGGGTGGGTCTCGGGGACTCTAGCTCTGGATGGAAGTTTTGAACAGGCACACAACTCCGTCCCTACTTCTCTGGTCCTGCGGGTGCCAGTTTCCCCATCTGACAACTGAGAACAGCCCCATCACAGTGTCTGGGACCCACCACAATGTTTAAATTTCTTTTATTATCGGTAAAAAGTACTACACGCAGTGGAAAGTAGAATTTTTAATTTTTTTTTTTTTTCTTTTGGCAAGGTAGAATCATCTTGAGAATTTTTAATTTTTTAAATGCAGGAAGGGCCCACGAAAGCAAAAGTGCCTAGAGCCACGGAAATCATGATGCGACACTGAAAAAGGGGACCTACCTGAAGTGGTTGCTAAGGGTAGCGGACGATGCTTTCTGGGGTGGAGTAGGGGGATAGGAAATGACAGCCTGGTGACAATCACAAAACGTTTTGAGCAGGGCGGTTAACACAGTCAGCTCTGGGTTCTTCGAAAGGTAGTGCCCATGTCAGTAAGAGAAGAGCATTAGAGAACAAAGCTCTAGAAATTGATAACAGCAACCATTTATGGAGGGCACTTTCATGCACCCCTTTCATTCGTTCAACAGATGTTTATGGAGTGTCCCCTAAGTGCCTGGCACTGTGCCACTCCCCAGAGCTCAGTGGTTAAGGAATTGGACATGGTCCTTGCCCCAATGGAGCCTGCATTCTACTGAGGGACTGAAGAGGAAGCAAATGAAATGACAGTGACCAGGGCTAGTATTCTGTGATCATAGCTGAGACCTTAGGGTCATCAGAGGAGGCCTGAGAAACTTACGTTTGAGCTGAGAGTCATGTGATGAAAAGGTCGAGCAAGCTAAGACCCAGGAGGGAACCATTTTCAGAGAACGGGAACTACCAAGGCAAAGGCTTGACATGTGTCCTTGGGTCAGAAAGGCCACTGAGACTGACACCTGGCAGGCCAAAGAGAAAGAGGTGAGGTGGGCAAGGTAGGCTGGGCCAGATCTTGGTAGGGGGTTAGGTCTTTATTAACAGAGGGTTATTTTCAAGGATTTAATGCAATAATGTATGCAAAGCACTGACTGAGCACAGAGCTTGCACACGCTAGGTGCTCAGTAAGTATTAGTAATTGTGAGGAAGATGAAACATTTGGATTTTTTTGGTTTGCTTGCTTTGAGGGAGTGGCGGGACATATCTGGGTTTTCAAAGCCATTTCCCATAGCTGAGGAGGCCTTACAGAAGGGAGGTGAGGATGCAAGGTAAGAGGTTTAGGTGAGAGTTAACAGGGTTGAGTATGGGTCAGGCAGCTGCTATAAGATTGGGTAGAGTCCAGAGGACCCAGCAGCCTTGTGGGGAGGGGGCAAGGGGACAAGGAGCAGGGGCAGGGAGAATGCTGCTGAGACTTCCAGTCCATGTGCCAAGGGATGGCCCACTGCGAGACAGAACCCAGGAAGGGGGCAGGTTTCTGCAAGGAAGGATAAGGAGTTCAGACTGGGACGTGCTGAATTAGAGGTGCCAACAGAATACCCATGTGGCGATGTCTTGCAGGTGGTTGGAGGTGGAAGTCTGCAGCTCCAGTTCAATGGATCTAGCTCCAGCTTCTAGTCCCAAGATTAAAGTGTATTAAGTTAATGAACGCCCCTGCTGTTGGCTTGTTTCAGGATTCATTTTCATTTGCTTTCTCCAAATGTTGCAAAGAATAGATGACTGTTAAACTCCTACTACCTCTCCTCTTGGATTTTTTTTTAATGGTGCCTGAATTGAAAGCAGACAAATTAATATATGTATAACTAATTGCGCCTATAGAATCAAGGATTATTTAACTCACCTCTCACTCAACCAAAAGGTTGGTTAATCCATTTATTATTAAATGGATTAACAAACAACCAGTAATGAAGGTATTACCTTCAGTCTATAAGTAGAAATGATTAGAATAATTGAGTCTATGTATCTTGCCTCCTGAGATATTGTTGACCTGTTGATTTTGAAAAGCCATGTCTTGATTGTGCAAATTAGCTTGCATTACTTAAAATAAATACTCCTAAAGTCGTTTAAGGTATTTTCCTGTTTAAGAAAAATTCTGGTGGAGAATTTCCACGGAAATGAGAAATTGGTTTCACTTAATCCAGTCAAGAAATATTTACTCAGTGCCTTCTATTGTGACCTAGTGCCTACTAGGTGTCATTACTGAGACAAAGCTGAACCAAGGACACAATCTATCTAGTGCCAATGGCAGAAATAAAGAAAAGAAAGGCTGTCTTTGATGATAAGAGAAGTGCAGGGACCTCAAAGAGAGGTCAAGGAAAGTCTTTCCAGAGAAATGATGTTTAAGCTGAGACTTACGCATTTTTTTTTTTTTTTTTTTGAGACAGAGTCTCACTCTGTTGTCCCAGGTAGAGTGTAGTGGCGTCATCACAGCTCACTGCAACCTCAAACTCTTGGGTTCAAGCCATCATCTGGAAGAGCTAGGACTACCGGCATGCGTCATGAAGGCTGGCTAAGAGATGCGGGTGTCTCACTCTTGCTCAGGCTGGTATTGAACTTCTGAGCTCAAGCTAACCTCCTGCCTCGGCCTCCCAGAGTGCTAGGATTACAGGCATGAGCCACCATGCCTGGCCGAGACTTAAGACTTGAATCTGGAGGACAAAGAGAATAAAGCACCATAGAGAAAATAAAAGATGACGTAAAAGAAAATGACTGGAGTGTAGACAAAAAAAGGAAAGAAAGAGAGAGAGACCAGAGAGAGATGCCTGAGAAGAAGGGAAGAGCCAGATGCCCTAGAAACTTGCCAGGGGTTGGGACTTTATGTCCTGGGTAATGGGTAGCCATGGAAGGCTTTTGAAACAACAAGAGTGATATGATCAGATACATATTTTTGGCTTGTTCTGGCTGCCCTTTGGAGAAAGACTCTGAGAGGAGCAAACAGAGGCTAGGAGACCAGTTAGGATGCCATTGATGGAACATCCAGGTGACGGTAACCCAGATGAAGGCAGGCATGAGGGTGAAGTGAACACCATTGGGAGCACTTAGGAGGCCAGATAGATTGCAATTTGAAAGGTCTTACCCAGTGAGTATATAATAAATACCCCAATTCTTAAAATTTGCATCTTCTAATCATATTTCAACCCACTCTTTTTTTTCTTTTCTTTCTTCTTCTTTTTTTTTTTTTTTTGGACAGGGTCTCACTCTGTTGCCTGGGCTAGAGTGCCGGGGCATCCTAGCTCACAGCAACCTCAAATTCCTGGGCTCAAGTGATCCGCCTGCCTCCGCCTCCCAAGTAGCTGGGACTACAGGCATGCCCACCATGCCCGCTAATTTTTTCTAGATATATTAGTTGGCCAATTAATTTCTTTCTATTTTTAGTAGAGACAGGGTCTCACTCTTGCTCAGGCTGGTTTCAAACTCCTGACCTTGAGCGATCCTTCCGCCTTGGCCTCCCTGAGAGCTAGGATTACAGGCGTGAGCCACCACTCCCAGCCTCAACCCACTCCTATCTGTCTTCTGTCTCCTTCATGTCACTGCCACCATTTTTTCCATTTCAAAAAAAAAAAAAACCTTCTCTAATTCTATTCAATCTCTCAACAGTTATTGACAAAGATGATAGCTCCGAACATCTTGAAATACACTGCTGTCCTTCCTCTGTATCCAAAGCACCATACTCTCCTGGCTGTCCTCTTACCCCATCAGCTGTTTCCTCTCAAATGCCTTTCCTTTTTGTCCTTCTGCTTGTTCTGCAGACATCGTAGTTCCGCAGAACTCGCTCTCTATCTCTTGCTGTACTTCCACTCTCGCCCTAGGGGATCCCATCCACCCGCATCTTTGAGACCGTCGCGGGATAACTCTCAGATTTGCGTCTCCAGCCCTCCTGTCTTCTCTCATCTGCAGGCTTGTGTATCTGAGGGACCTAACTGCCTCTTGGCCTCATCGCCAGATTTCCCCTGAGATCTCAGCATCTCCACAAGCACCCCGAATGCCATCTTTGAGCCGTCTTCCCCTCTCAGGCCACGGGGCTCCCAGCTCCACAGATACCAACGCCAGACACCTGGGAGTCCTCCTAACTTCTCTTCCCCTCCACTCCTATCCAGTCCAAAGGCAAACCCTGCATCAGACCCACTGGAAAAGTTAACTTCAAATCTATCTGCTCGTCTCCCTCTTCAAGCTGTCATTTTAGTCCAGGTGTCTGCCAGCTCTCAACTGGGCAGTGACAATAGCCTCAAATTGATCTGACTCATCTGTCCTTGCTCTATTATGATCCATGCTCCAAACAGCAGCAGGATGGGTTGCAAAATATATCTACAAAGCTTTTTTATACTCTTCTTTTCAAGATGTAGAGCTTAATTTCCCTCCTCTTGAGTGTGGGCTGAACTTAGTGATTCACTCCTAATGAATAGAATAAAGCAATGACAGCGGGAGACTTCATGGGCCAGGTCACAAAAGACACTGGGACTTCCATCTTGGCCGCACACCCTCAGATCACGCGCTCCAGAGGGAGCCAGGTGCCAGGTTGTGAGCACCCCTACAGAGAAACACACGGTGGGGGACCGAGGCCTCCCACGACAGCTAAGTGAGTGAGCCCTCGGGGAGAGTCTCCACTGCCAGTCAAGTCCTGGCTGACATCTTGTCTGCAACGACACGAGAAACCCCGAGTCAGAACCACCCGGCTAAGCTGCTTCCACATTTTCTACAACATGATACATGTGTGTTGTTTTAAGCAAATAAATGTGTTATAATTTCTTATGCTACAATACTTAATATGGGTATCCCAAGTGCTCTTTTAAAACGCAAATCTGATCATGTCCCTCCTCTGCTAAACGCATCTCAGTGGTTTCCCATTTCATCTGCAAATAACGGATCATTTTCTCCTATCTTTGCAGGACAACAGAGTGAGGTCAGCAAATCCTGCCCCCCAAAAGCAGCAATGATGCAGGACAAAACTGTCAAAAATAGCCATTGCAGGCCTCTGGAAATAGACCAAATGCATACAGCAAGCTGAGAAGCATTTATTAATGGAAATTACTAAATATCAAGTAAGAACAGTATGAATCTGTGGCATGTTTGCCTATGTGTGGTCCTATTCTTGAGAGCAACAAAGGAAATATGACTGATGACTGACTTCTCATCAGAAAAATGGAGGCCCAAGGTAGAGGAATGACATATGCAAAACGCTGGGATAAAGCCAACCGCCAACCAAGAATTTTATATGTACCAAATATCAAAAATAAAAGTCAAATAAATACATTTCCAGATAAAGACTGAAAGAATTTGTTGCTAGAAGAACTGCCTTACAAAAATTAATAAAGGCAATTCCTCAAGCTAAAAGTAACACTAGACATTAAGTTCAATTCACAAGAAAAAATGAATAATACCAGAAATGGCAAATATAAAAGTTCATAAATAGACTCTAGTTCTTCTCTTGCCTTTAAAGATATATAACATTGGGTAAAGCAATAATTGTAATGCTGTTTTGTTGCAAAAGAATGGGGGAGAAATGAGATATATTGGAGCAAAGTTTCTGTATTTTACTAAAATCGAGTTGGTACTATTCTGAAGCAGACTGTGCTAAACTAAGATGTGCATTGTAATCCCTAGAGCAATCATTCATGAAAAAACTTTAAAAAGAGTGAACTATGAAAATCAACAGGTAAAGTTGCTCATGAAAACACCTTTAACATAAGGCGGTATAAGAGAACAATGGAGACATGAGACAAATAAAAAACAAAGGGCAAAATGGCAGTGGAAACACAACCATATCAGGAATTTTATTGGATGTTAATTTAATTCAGATTAAACACCTCAAAAGGCAGAGAGAGCCATGCTGGGTGAAGAAGCAAGACCTAACAATGTGCTGTCTAAGGAGGAAATTCTGACATTCTAAGACAGAAATAGGCGGAAAGCAGAAGGATGGGAAAAAGACATACCATGCAAACAGTGACCATGGGAGAGCTGGAGTTTCTATGTCAGCATCAGACAAAACAGATTTTAAGGCTTTAGAGAAAAATCATAATGATAAACGGGTCAATACATGAGGTAGACATAATAGTTATGAATGTATATGTATCTATCAACCTCTGTCGATTAACCCAGAGTACATGAAACAAAAATGGACTGAATTGAAAGAAAAAAAATAGACGATTCAATAATAACAGTTGGAGATTCTTAAAACCTCACTCTCAGTAATTGATAAGCAGCTGGACAAAACATCAGCAAGGGTGGGCTTGTAAAATGGTGCGACAGCTATGGAAAATAGTATGGCAGTTCTTTAAAACATTAAAAGGAGAACTATCATATGATCCATTTCTGAGTATATATCCACAAGAATTTAAGGCAGGGTCTGTAAGAGATATTTACCTGCTCATGTTCATAGCCCCACTATTCACAATAGCCAACAGGTAAAAACAACCCAGTGTCCATTGACAGAAGCATGGATAAATAAAAACCGGAATATACATGCAGTGGATATTCTTCAGCCTTAAAAAGGAGTTTTGACCTATGCTACAACATGATGAACCGTGAGGACATTATTCTAAATGAAATAAACCAGTCACAAAAAGACAAATACCATATGATTCTACCTAGATTAGGTATCTAAAATAATTGAATTCATAGAAACAGAAAATAGAATGGTGGTTACCAGGGGCTGGGGGGCGTGGGGGAGAAGGAGTTGTTGTTTAATAGGTACAGAACTTCAGTTTTGCAAGATGAAAAAGTTCTGTATCACAACAAGGTGAATATATTAATACAAAACATCACTAAACACTTAGAAGTGGTACATTTTACATAATGTGTTTTTTATCACAATAAAAAAATCAATAAAGATATAGAAGACTTGAATAACACTATCTACCAACTAGACCTGACATTTATAGAAAAGTCCACCCCAAAGCTAAAGTATGTAGATTCTTTTCAAGAGCACATGGAACATTCTTCAGGAGAGATCATAAGCTGGACCACAAAACAAGACTCAAGAAATTTTCAGACCGAAATCATACAAAGTATATTCATTCTCTGGTCACAACAGAATTAAAATGGAGATTCACAACAGGAAAAACCTGAGCAAACCCAAAGTATTTTAAAATTAAACAACATACTTACAAATAGCTTATAAGTCAAAGATAAAATCATAAGTAAAAAAATATTTTGAACAAAATTAAAGCAAAAATACAACATAAGAAAACGTACGGGACATAACTGAATCAGTGCTTACAGGGAGGTTGGGGCCGGAAATGCTGTCACAGAAAAGAAGAAAGGTCTGAAATCGATCACCTAAGCTTCCACTTAGAGAAATTTGAAAAAGACCAAAGTTACCCAAATCCAGTAACATATGGAAAAGACTGTAGACCATGAGCAGGTAGAATTTATCCCAGGAATGCCAAGTTGGTTTAACATCCAAAAATAAACTAATGGAATACAATAGATTGATAAAGTAGAAGACACACCTCTGTGCACGATCCCTTTGTTACACAGCTTACACGCCAGGGGCAGACGTTGAAAAGGTGAAATTACAGAGAGAAAGCGGAATCCGTGGAGTGTGGACTGGGCTTGGCAACTGGATCCTAATGAAGAGAACGAAGCAGAAATAACAATACGTGTCTTTGAAGACGAGGTCGTGAGAGGTACGGTGGCTTCCCCCTTGCTCTCTGGGATCACGTGGCTCTGGGCAAAACCTGCAGAGGCCCCGGAAAGGAACCGAGGCCTCCCGCCAGAACTTGAGGAGGAGGATGGGCCAGGGGCGGGGCCGCCAGCCCTCCACTGCAGCGGTTCCTAATCGCTGACCCCTGAACCCGTCACAGGTCACACAGTATTGTCATTGTCTATGTGTGTTGTGATGTGAAGAAGTTGGGGGCTGTGTCCCACTGCACTGGCCTGAATGTTCACACAGTTCTGTCAAACGCCTTGTGGCGGGTGGGGTCCTGGCCAACCTGGGGGTTCAGCGGCAGCCTCTGGGCCATGGCAGGTCAGCTGATGGCCACGGAGTCCCGTGTTGCCTGGTCCTGGAGACACGCTGCCAGGCAGTGCAAGAGTCACGTCATGAATCAGTAAAATCCCTTCTCAATCAAGGGGAGGCAACCTGGCCCCTGGTATTTCTGCCCTTCTGTGGAAAAGCCCTACATTAAAAAAAAAAAAAAAAATTACCTATCTATTTATTTAGAGATGGGGCCTCTCTATGTTGCCCGGGCTGGGCCACAGTGGCTATTCACAGGTGTGATCGTAGCTCACTGCAGCCTCTGACTCCTGGGCTCAAGCGATCCTCCCACTGCGATCCTCCCACTGCGGCCTCCTGGGACTTCGAGCATGTGCCACTGTGTCCAGCTAAAAGCACCACAATTTTGAGCAGCGTAGCCTATTTGGAGACAAATTTGCAGCACAGCCTGGGGAACATTTGAATGAAGCTGTCCCTCGACCGTGAAGCCGTGACTAGGGTGGGGACCCAAGCTCACACTTCACAGCTAGCTGGGGGCATCGTGGCTGGGCGGCACTTCAGGTGGCTCCACGTTGACGCTATCCCAGCGGGCAGGAGCGTGGAGCAGGAGGGAATAACAGCAAGGGGGGGGGGGCAGACAAGCCTGCCGTACTGAGATGGGTACTGTTGGCAATATACTCGCGGGGCCGTTGAAGGAACCATCTAGAAGGTGCCTCCCTTAGGACACAAGGGCAAGCATTGACCCACCCCTGGCTTGCTCTGCGTTGGTCAAGGGCTGCCCCTGGGGCTTTATTTTCCTACACTTCCAGGTTGCCTAGGTGTGTGTACCTTGCAGATTTCTGCCATTGTCGCATGTCCCTGGAGCTCTGGGACAGAAAACGGAAAGGCGGAGGTGCGGCTGCAGCGGGAGCCCCGCCGTGCCCTGTGCAAAGCTGGCTGCTGCAGGACTCCTGGAGTGGAAGGTGAGCCGAGAGGCAGGCGGTGGCACCAGGAGTCGGATTCTCGTCACCTTCGGAGGACAGGAGGGCACCAACCGGTTACTCTCAACACAGGGAACGAAGCGGAAAGAATCCCACTTCCTTTGTCCAGGTTATCCTGCACTTCAGGGCAGCCAGATAGCGGACGAGGAAACGTTCCTTTCTTTTTAGCACAGAGCTTGGCAAATGAAGGCCATGGACCAGATCCGACTCGCAGCCTGTTTCTGTGCCGCTTACTTTCTGCAAAGATTTTTACGTTTGTAAGGGGCTGTTAAAAAAAAAAAAAACAGAAAAGAATTCTCAACAGTCTGTACGTGGCCCCGTCAAGCCTAAGATATTTACTATCTGGCCCTTTTCAGAAAAATGTAGCCAACCCCTGCTTTAGAAGGAATTCTCACTAACAGATGAAGACGGTATGATAAGTGGGTTATCATATCGCTCCTTCGCAGCCCCTAAAGAAGTCGTGAACCCCAGCGATGGCTATCAATGACTGCAAACGCCATTAGGCAGAAACCTGATGGGAAACCATAGAATGACGGTCACCACCCTCACAGAGGGGAGTGGGGCAGCCTGCGCCCCTGTTTTGCTGCTGTGGGGAGCCCCGGCGGGAGGTAAGCTCGCCCACATACCTGGCCAGGTACGATTAGGTCTTAAATCTGCCAGTTGACAGGATCAGACAGAGGAACCTGTGAAAAGGCACTGCAGATTTTGATCGATATCAATTTCCTTCTCTCTAAAGAACACCTTTTAACATTTGCTGCGGGGCAGGCATACTGGCCACAAACCCTCTCCACTTTTGTTTATCTGAGAAACTCTTCATTCCTCCTTCACTTTGAAGGATAATTTCACAGGGTACAGATCTCTAGATTGGAGACTTTTTTCTCTTCACACTGCAAGTACTTAACTCCACTCTCTTCTTAGTCGCATGATTTCTGAGAAGTCGGATATAATTCTTATCTTTGTAAGAATTACAGAGTAAGATTTTTATTTCCTTTGGCTTCTTTCAGATTTTTTTCTTTATCTTTGGTTTTCTGTAGTTTGGAAAATGTATGTCTAGTTGTAGCTTGTTGGGTTTTTTTTCTTTCTTTTGGTGTTATCATGCTTGGTGTTCTCTGAGCTTCCTGGATCTGTGGTTTGGGTCATTAATTTGGAGAAATTCTCAATCATTATTGCTTCAAATATTTCTTCTGTTCCTTTCTCTGTTTCTTCTTCTTCTGGTATTCCCACTATGCCTATTTACACACTTTGTAATTGTCTCACATTTCCTGAATGTTCTGCTTTGTTTTTTCTGCCCTTTTTTTTTTTTTCTATTTGCTTTTCATTTTGGGAGGTTTCTATTGAGATATCCTTAAGCTCAGAGTCTTTCTTCAGTCCAGTCTGCAAATACACCCATCGAAAACATTCTTCCTTTCTCTGCCAGTGGTTTTTATCTCTAGCATTTGTTTTTGGTTCTTTCTTAGAATTCCCAACTCTCTGTTTTCATGGCCAGCCTGTCCTTACATGCCTACGCCTAGGGCCTTTCGCATATCCATCATCCTTGTGGTAGTAGTGGATTCGAAGTCTGATAATCCAGCATCCCCACAGTAGGTGAGTCTGATTTCGATGTTTCCTCTGTCTCCTCGCCCTGCATTTTTTGCCTGGTGATTTTTTTTCTTGATAGTTGGACATGATTTATGCGGTAAAAGGACCCGCTGTAAACAGGCGTGTGGTACTGCAGTAGGCAGGGGTGGGAGGGGAAAGCCTTCCGTAGTCCCATGATTAGGTCTGTCTTTGGGTGGGGGGAGGACTGTGTCCCTGGCCTGGGAGCTTCACAGGTAGGTGTTCCTTGGGCCCCTCCTCACTGGGGTGGGACGGAACAGCTGTGTGGGCTGGAGTCGGGGACTTCCCTTGGCCCAGGTGCAAGGCTACCGCTGGCTGGACTTGAGCATTTCTCGTTCCCCAGGTCAGTTCGCTCTGATAGAAGCCCATCAGGTTGGGCTCTGGTTAAACAGTTTCTCCTGTGGGCAGACCTTGTGAAACAGAATAAGATACCCTGGTGTACTTCTATGTGGCCTCTTTTCCTTGCCTTTCTTTCTGTGGTGGACATGGTGACACTGTGGTGCTCCGGCCAGATTCTCTTAGAACCATAGACCAGCTTGGCACATTCATCTCCCAGAATCTGAGGTCCTTGCTTCTGAGGTCCTTGCTTGCACCCATGATACCTTCCGTTTGACTCTCTTGGGTTCCTTGGAGCCCCTCCCAGGGACTCCCCTAGAGCAGAAATGTTGGAAAGTGTATGTCTCCTTGGGGCAGTTCGTAGCTGGTGGCCGATGAGTGCAGGAGCATGAAAGCCAGCCTCACTGTGAGACCAGTTCTGACGTTTATTTCATGCTCTAGTGATACCCAGAGGTCATGACGAAATGGGATTTTGCAAGAAGCTACACCTTGCTTCACTTATTAGTTTCTCCTGGGAGCAAATACCTAATTATTGGCGCATGAACTGCCACCGCAGGGTCTGCTTTAGAGAGAACCCGACCACGATAGCCACTCTCGCACTTCACGGCACTGTGTATTGGTTCGGGCTCTTTTAGCTATAAGAAGCAGAAAATGAAATGCTAGCTAATATATTTGGGACATCTGTGAGCTGATCCAACTTCATGCATGACTAGGGCCAGAAACTCAAGTGAGAAATTAGGAATCTGCCTCATCCTGTATGTATTACCTTGGCTTCTTGTGCTACATTGGCCTCATTTTTCAATGCTTTCAAGCAAGCTTTCTCTGTGCGTCAGGGAAGAAAGCTTCGAGCAGTTCACATGCTCCTGTGTCCGGACACGAAGGTGAGGCTGATTCCCGTCCAACCCCACCTTCTTGGTAAGGCAGGAATTTGATTGTGGCAGCATAGGTCGAATGTCCTCTTCTGGACCAATCTGTCAGGTATGGGAATGCGGAATTGTTAGGGTTATTTGTGGTTTGCTGTCCAAAATACATCCCCCACCCCGTAGCCTCACATTTCCTTTAGAAAATCACTCTCCCCTATGGTATACAGCCCCTGGTATTTCCAGCCATGGGTTATTGGGTGGAATTAAGGCAATCAGTGTATTCCGTCCACCTGGATGGAGTGACTGGTTCAAGAGTGGGTATGTAGCCAAATCGGGGCCTGACGTGAGAAGAATTATGTGGGGGGCCTACTGAGAAAGGGAAGTTTTCTTTTCTTTTTGTTAGAGCCAATAGAGAGATTCTGTCTTCCCCAGGGCAGAGTGACGTAAAGTTTGTTATCCTGGTAAATTAGAATAGGCGTTTTCCCAAACTGAAAGGGGATTCTGGTGAACAGTAGGGGGCATGTTATATGAAGGTGTTATCAATACTGTGGAAGGCAGAGGGGAGAGCAGGAGAGAGAGGGGGGAGGGGAGGAGGTGAGTGAAGTTGACATGTTCTTGGTTATGTTACTAAGCTATTGTATCAAACTTGACTAAAGTCCATTTCTGGGCATTTTTGCTTTTCAGCTAATTTTGTTTAATTTTTTGATTGTGGGGTATTTTAAACATACAGAAAACTAGTAACAATAAAGTTTTAATAAGGCCAGGTGCAGTGACTCTTTTCCTTCATCCTAACACTCTGGGAGGCCAAGGCAAGAGAATCGCTTGAGCTTAGGAGTTCGAGATCAGCCTGAGCAAGAGCAAGACCCCAGTCTCTACTAAAAATAGAAATAATTAGCCGGGCATCTAAAAAATTGAAACAAAAAATTATCTGGGCATTGTGGTGTGTTGCCTGTAGTCCCAGCTACTAGCGGGGCTGAGGCAGGAGGATTGCTTGAGCCCAGGAGTTTGAGGTTGCTGTGAGGCTGAGGCCATGGCACTCTAGCCTGGGCAACAGAGAGAGACTCTGCCTAAAAAAAAAATTTAAAAAGCTTCAATACTTATCAATTCAGCCAACCTTATGTCATCTATATTCTGTTTAGTATTTACTAACTCCCCTCACATAATTATTTTGAAGCAAATTTCTATCACCAAATCTTTTCATCTTAAAATATGTCAAATAAATATTTTAAAACACCAACCATGGTACATGTTACATAATATCAACCATGATACATAATATGTAATAACATAATATGATACCTAAAAAAATTTCTTAATAGCAAATATCTAATTGGTGTTAACATTTCTCACATTTTTCTTCAATGTTTTTCTCTGTGTTCTTTGGATTGGCAATTACTATTGATCTTTCTTTTGCCATCTCAAATATGTGATTGAACCCATCTAATAAAATCTCCACTTCAGTTATTGTACTTTAGAGCTCTAGAATGTCCCCCAAAAGTTTTCATTTCTCTATTGTGATTCCATATATGTTTATTCATTTATATTACGTTTTTCCTTTAATTCTTTGAACATCTTTATAACATCTTCTTGGAAGTCTTTTTCTGCTAAATCCAACATCTGGGTTCCATCATATTCAATTGTTATCGACCGTCTTGTTTTCTGGTTTTGGTTTGGCGTCTTTCAGGGGCATGTCTGATAATTTTTGGTTGAAAATTGGACATTGTAGATGATGCAGTGTGGACTCTGGAATCCTGGTACGTTTTTCTGAGGACCACGGCCTTGCTGTTGTTCTAACCAGGCAAGTAACCTGCCTGGATTCTAGCTATAAAGACTTCCCCCCTGTGGCATGCAGCCCCTTAAGAACATCTCTGTTTTGTTCTTAAGGTTTCTCAGTGCTGCATTTTTAAGCCTGGCTCCTGGGGGTCTTCCTTGTGCCTGCTTAATATGGTGATCAGCTCTCCCGTGGCTTCTGGTTTCTGTGGGTTTCTACCAAATTTCCAGCTACTTTGTGGGCATTAGGGTCTGTCCTGTGATGTGTTTCATGCCTCTGAGTCTTCATCGTTTTGTTGCCCAACCTGTGTGCGGCTGGGAAATGCACTCAGAAGGAAGAAGAAAGAAAAGGCAAATTCACAGACCTCACCTCCTGTATAGCTCAACCTTTCAAGAGAAGATTTCTCCTTGGGTCTGTCTCTTTTTTCACCAGCACCTGAGGTTTCCCCTGCACATACGTGAGTGACTTGTCAGCCGGGGAATCAGGTAGAGTTTATATCCAGAATTTAAGTCTTGCTCCCTCTGTGAAACTCTCACTGCAGTATTTCCTGTTAAAATTTCCAACCGCTCTTCCCTGCTTGAACTCTGATTGATAATAATACCTCGAAACGGCAGGCTGTGGTTTCGCCCCAGATCTCCACAGCGGGCCGCGATGGGTCGGGGCATAAGCCCATGCCAGAAAGCTACAAATGCACAATTTCTGCTGTTTCCAGTTGTGCTTTCTATTAAACTCTCCTCCAGTTTCTGCCTGGTTTTGGACACTGTCAGTGTCTTTAAATAGTGGGTTTTTTTTCCCCCCATTTTATCCAGCTTTTACATTTGCTACACAGGGGAGGGTTTGCCTTTGCACTCTGCTCCTCTGCCCCAACACGCTCCCTAGTTGTGGCACGCATTGCTGCTTCGTCCCTCCAGCGATTATCGGGGGGGCCAGAAGGTAGTTTCCTAATTTTTTCATACCTGTCATATGTATTCAGTGGCTCTCCACTGTCGGGAAGATCCCCCAGGCCCCTTATTTGTTTATACCAGTGAGAAGTCATTATGATGATTATTCTCAATTTTTATATTAATATTATCCCAAGTGGGAATCTTTCAAGCTGGTTTTTGTATCTTTTAAATAAATTTCCATCTTCTTTGAACACTTCCTTCCTTTCTGGTACAATGAAGTGCTCCAGGCTCCATGCACCAGCCCCAGTATCGTTTTTTCCCAGGAGTCCTGATTCCTTTTGGGAGGTGAATAGCATTTGGATACAAAGATATGATCTCTAGGTTTGCTCATGGATGCTGGGCTCTATTCTGCCTCTGAACATACACACACATGTAATTACAAAATAATCATGCATGTGGAATACAGTCATGCGCTGCATAATGGCCTGTTGGTCAATGATGGACCACATACAGGATGGTGGTTCCATGAGATTATAACGCAGCTAAAAATTCCCGTCACCTAGTGACACCGTAGAGTCCTCGCACAATGCACGACTCACGTGTTTGTGGTGATGATGGCGTGAGCAAAGCCACTGCGCTGCCAGCCATGTAAAAGTGCAGCACATACGGCATGCAGTGCTTGCTGGCAAGCTGCGCTGCTGGTTCATGTGTTTACCATAGTATACTTTTGTTGTTATTTTATAGAATACTCCTTCTAATCACAAGAAAAGGTTAACTGTGAAGCTGCCTCGGGCAGGCCCTTTAAAAGGTAATTCCAGACGAAGGCGTCGTTATCACAGGAGGTGACAGCTCCATGCCAGTTATCGCCCCTGAAGATTTCCCAGTGGGACCAGATGTGGAGGTTGGAAGACAGTGATATTGAAGATCCTGACCTTATGTAGGCCCAGCTAACGAGTGCGTTTGGGTCTTGGTTTGTAACCAAAAAAAGTAGGGAAATAAAAATGGAAACATTTTAAAACTAGAAAAAAAAAGGCTTATAGAATAAAGATTTGAGAAAAAGTATTTTTGTATAGCTATATAATCTGTGTTTTCAGCTAAGTGTTATTATGAAAGGGTAAAAAAGTTTTTAAGAATTTAAAAGGTTATGTCTAAAAAAGTTACAGTATCCTATGCTAAAGTTAATTTGTTAGTGAAAAAAAGAAAAATATTTTCAATAAATATAGTATAGCCTAAGAGTACAGTGTTTATAAAGCCTACAGTAGTGTATGGTAGTGTCCTAGACCTTCACACTCACTCACCACTCACTCACTCATGCAGAGCAACTTCCGGTCCTGCATGGTAAGGACCATGTAGCTCCATTCATGGTAAGGCCCCTACACAGGTGTGCCATTTTTTATACCGTATTTTTACTGCACCGTTTCTATGTTTAGGTACACAAATAGTTACCACTGTGTTACGGTTGCCTGCAGTATTCAGTAAAGCAACATGCTGTACAGGTTTGTAGCCTAGGAGCAAAAGGTGGTATCAGACAGCCTAGGCGTGTAGGCAGCTGCACCATCTATGTTGATATAAGGTGTTTGCACAGTGACAGAATTGCCTGATGCACTTCTCAGACCACATCCCCATCAAGTGATGCGTGACTACACAAAACAATGTGTACATATGTGTATTTCCAGGCGTACGAACATGTGTATGTGTATGTTATCTCCCATGGTATATTTTAACATGTTCCTTTGTCCCTTGTATGTTAATCTAGGAACTTGATCAGATTCAGATTCAATTTTCCTAAGCTGAATCATTTCCTTTGTAGTGTCATATGGTTCCAGCAGGAGTTATGGGACATCTAATTTCCTGTTTTCTCCTTTTCGGATGTAAGCAGCCATTGATAATTACTGTTTCGGTCCATTTATTCATTAGGGGCTCCTGGCAGATTAAAGCTGGCCACAAACACTCTGACACCTTTCCCGCCTGGAGGTGAGGACTGTGTCCTCCTCTCTCAACTCGGGCGACTCTGTGACTGCTTTGGCCAGTAGAATGTGCTAGAAGCGACACTGTGTCGGTTTCTGGGCCCAGGCTTTAAGATACCAGTGGCTTCCTCTGCTTCCTCTTGGAACACTCACTCTTGGAGCCTCAGGCCCTTGTCTGTGAATCTACTACCGCGTTTCCTCGAAAATAAGACAGGGTCTTACATTTATTTTTCCTCAAGAAGACAATCTTGGGCTTATTTTCAGGGGGATGTGTTATTTTTTTTAAGTACGGTACAACCATCTACATTTAGTCAAATAGAGTTAAGTCGTGTTCTTCTGGAACATCATCATAGTAAAATGGCAGCCACAGCTTTCCTTCCTCCCCTGGGGACACACAACACCTAGAGCGGAGCGACCCCCCCTCACTTGACTGAGGAGACTTTCCCATCACAGCCCCAGCTTGCGGCACGCACAGGCTGGCCGGGA